TTTTCACGTATATTATGAATAAATCTTCTTTTTTTCGGTACCGGTACTAGTTTTATTTTGTTGCATTTATCCACGACACCTTAAAGGCCGGTCCGTGAAAATATTGTCGGGCATAAACCGGTCCGTGGCGCAAAAAAGGTTGGGGACCGCTGCTCTAAGCTATAAATAAAGCAGACGTGACAACAGTGACTTGATGTTACTGATGAGGGGGCTGATGTACCGGCTGACTTCCTTTTAGAAATTGTGAGAGCCAAACATAAGAACCTTAAATATAACTTGTTACTGTTTAGGCTACATTTGTTTTCTGTAAAGAAATGTAACCACAGTACATACTAACGGGGTTTGGCGGCGTAACCCAACGCTGAACGCTAGTCATTGCACGTGCAAATCCACAAAAGATGCAAAAACGCCCCCTCAAAAAAATTCTCATCCATTCATTCATATTATAAAATGAAACATATATGGCAAAACAATTTCTGTTGTATGTGTGAAAAAAGTCCAGAAATTGTATTTTCAAAAGTAAATTAAAAAAAAACAAGAAATGAAAGCATCCCTAGCTTGAAGCACCACTTCAAGCTAACTACGTAATGCCGTTAACACAAAGCGTATATAAACCTCTGGTGACATACTCTTTGAGGGAGACAGTCGACAGACAGTCTTCTTTTTACTGTGACACTAATTTCTACAAATGTAATGTTCTCTTGTTGCAAGTGTGAAATGACACCTTAAAAAGGTAAACTACAATTTTATTATGGATAATGTGTCAGTGGTTACTGTTTTTACTCTCTCAGGTTTAAGTGGTATAGCAAACTACAAGATCACTATCTTTATTTTTACTTTACTATGTTACTGTGTGATTTGGCTGGTAAATTTGACGATAATTGTCACAGTCATTGTGGATAAAAAACTTCATGAACCCATGTACATCTTCCTCTGCAATCTGTGTTTCAATGGACTCTATGGGACTGCTGCATTTTATCCCAAGTTTCTCTACGATCTTCTATCCACCAGTCATGTCATCTCTTATGCAGGATGCCTTTTACAGGGTTTAATGGTGCACTCTTCAATTGGTACGGACTTCTCTCTTCTAGCTCTCATGGCCTATGACAGATACGTGGCTATATGTCGACCTCTTGTGTACCACTCTCTGATGACTACACAAAGAGTTTGTATCTTTGTATTTTTTGCTTGGCTTACTCCCTTTTGCCTGATATTAATGAGTACGATAACAACAGCAACATCGAGGTTATGTGGCTCACACATACCAAGAATTTACTGTATAAACTGGTTAATTTCTAATCTAGCTTGCTCTGCCTCTGTAGCTACAATTATTATTCCCGCTTTTAATTACACCTTTTATTTTGGTCATGCTGTTTTTGTTTTCTGGTCCTATGTACATTTGATCAAAACATGTCAGTCATCCAAAGAAAACTGGAACAAATTCATGCAGACATGTGTACCACATTTATTCTCTTTAGCAGTCGTTGTTGTGTCTTTTCTTTTTGATATGTTATACATGCGATTTGGCTCAAAAGAAATACCACAAAGTTTTGAGAATTTCATGGCAATGGAGATTCTCTTCATTCCACCAATTATTAATCCCCTCATGTATGGATTCAAACTGACACAAATTAGAAACACAGTTTTGAATTTCATATGTGGTAAAAGTTCAGCTTTTATATTAAGGTCATGAGTGTGTCTGTTTATATTTGTACATATTTAATTCAAGTGAAATGTGAACTACATTGTTAATTAATAGACACTGTGACATAT